AGACTTCATTCTCTGTTTGGAGTAATGTGCTTGTTATAGCAAAGAAGATATCCTCTCTTGAGTAGATAATGGTAAAGATTACTAGCTCTTAAAACTTACTCATCAAAATGTGGTGTATATGAGGGTTTGGGGCAAAGTGCCACTTAGCACATTAGGCTACAATTTTGTATAGCATATATATGATAAAAAAAAGTATGATGGTTTATTCTGAATATCAAGACAGTGGCTTAAAAAGTGAAATGTCTAAAGAAATATTTTTAGGGCAAATAAAAATAATAGTAAACTCTAGTTTTTATGAGTTATGTGTTCGAGGAACCCATTAGTTAGTTGATTGTTTAAAATTCTGATTTCGTTTTCTTAGAGGGAACAAAAAGAAGTAAAAATTATTACAATTAGCCACCTGGGTTAGATTACAAATGCCTATTAATGTAGCTGGACATACTTACTACCTAAAATAGTATAAAAATATATTCAATGTTTGTAAGTTTGAGATATTGCCTCATTTTACCATTAGTAGGATGGCATTCTACAAGATGATCCTGTTCTTTCCTCCTGGATGTAATTTCTTTCTTTCTTTTTAATTCCTTTAGCAACTTTGCTTTTCTTAGGATCTATGACTTTTTATTTGTATCACTGCTATGGGCATATCTTACCTCTGCTCTTATACGTTAACGCCCTTGAAAGGAGGGGTCATGTTTAATTCATTTATACCCAGTACCTCTCTCAAATGACTGGATATATAAATGGTGGCTAAATAACAGTGGTTGAACAGCAGCTATAAAATAAATGCCAGCTTAATTAATGCCTTTCAAATTTCAATCCAGTGCACATTTCCCCATCAAGAATCTATCTATCTTTCTTTGTTCTATGACCCTAGGATATCTTCTCTATGGCTTACTCAAATTCAGTATCTCCTGAAAAGAACACATCGTTCCAGGACAATCATTTTTCTTGAACCTAATAAGAGGACCCACAAAGAGTTATTCCCTCAGGAATCAAGGGAGAGTAATTCAGAGATACATTTACCACCAAAATAGTGGCATATGTAGATATAAGCGTGCATACATGTGTATGTAGACAGAGAAGATGAAAATCTGCAGTATTTTTCCTGAAGACACTTCTAGCCATCACTACTGAAACATCGGCCTGTTTATATAATATAAAGATAGTATTATTTGTAAATTATTTACCTAGCTTTCTGATTCCATATTACATAATCTCAAAGATAGGAGTTCTACATATTTAATTTTAAAGCACATTTCATAATAGGATAAACATGGCTAGCTTATACTAAAATCTATTTCAGAATAATAGGGAAGTAGGAAGGAAGTATAAATATTGACCCATGTACTTACACTCCATGGAAGTGAATCAGTGTATAAAAGGTGAGCAAACATCTTAGCAACATTTCTCAATTTGTTTGTTTCCAAGCGATGGATGGTGTCATACTGTTCTTTGAATATACTCTCAAAGGATTCCATGTACTCTTTTTTTAGCATGCAAAATCGCTAATAAATAAAAAAATCAGTACATTAAAACCTGAATGTTAATACAATTATGAGCATATTAAATCCTAAATTTACTTAATCAAAACTTTTAAAAGTTAATATATATGGTTTCTAATTACCTGAGATTTACATGCTAAAACAAATTATACATGTAGCTGATCATATGTGGGTAGAGCTCAGATTTAAAGAAACATTTTAGATCATCCTTTAATTGTGTTGCCTGAACATGTACTTGACTTTAGAAACTGCTTTGGGATTTTGAAAAGGTATTATTTAATTGTCTTCTATTGGGAAATTGTTACAAAGCATGGAAAATTCCAAAAAGCTCTGGAGAAGTGATATACAAAATTAAAGCACTGCAAAAATGAATCAGAAAAGAAGGAAGGTGAAGAGAGCGGGAAACCTAAGGAAGGAGAGAATAATTTGCTTTTAGCAAAAATATTAATATGTTGTTATATGAGACCTGATCATAAAGCAGAAATCATTAATTTACAATATTCATTCTAAGAATTCCCTTAATAGAGGCTGGAACTCACCCCAGCTAATAAGCCAAAAAATTTTTCATACGTCCTCTGCTGGGCACAGCAATCAAGTATCATGTTACAGAGTTCTTTCTATTTGGGAAAAAAAATAATGAGTCAAAACACAAAGAGACTAAATATTGTATGATAATTTACTAATATGATAGTGACTGCCTGCATTTTTAAAGGTTTAAAACTTCAAAAACTTTGTAAGTAAAATAAAAACCTCAATCTATGTTAAGCTCATAATTTTTTAAAGCCTTGGGTCTGGATGACAGCTTCCACGATCATTTATGCTAATTATATTAATTATAAAATTCTAAATTCATGATAACTATGAACCACATCAAGAAAACCTAGAATATGAAACAGACATAGGAGGGAGAGATTTAATACACTGCATTCTTAAAGGATTCTATGCAGAATTCTTTTAAATAAAAGACTCACCAAAACAACATCTAACAATTCAGTTATATTTCTCCCAAGGATATAAAATCAATTGCTAAGGAATATATTTAATATGGAAAAGGCGGACCAATATGAGTCTTTACAGAGGTGTAAGTGGGTACAACTTCAACGTTAACATAAATGACCCTCTGGTTGATAAAGAAACATTAAAAAAAAACTCTTTAATGTCCATTGAAACACAAAAGTTTTAAATTTTGATGAAATTTAATCTATCTGCTTTTGCTTTTGCTGCTGATGCTTTTGATGTCACATCCAAGAATCCATTGCCAAACTCCCTTGGCAATGATGAAGACTGATCTGCTTTTATTGCATTTAATTTTTAAAAAATGAATTTTATTCTGTATATTTAAGGTGTATAACATGATCGTGTTATGGAATACATATAGATAGTAATAAGGTTACTATACTGAAGCAAATTAACACATCCATCATCTCACAGTTACCCAGTTTTTGTTTTGTTTTGTTTTGTTTTTGCATGTGGCAGGAGCAGTTAAATCTATTCATTTAGCATTAATTGCAAATACAGTACAATTTTATTATTTATGCCCCTTGTGTTATATATTACATTTCTAGACCTGCTTATTCTACATATCTGCTACTTTGTATCTTCTGACCTACATCTCCCCATTTCCTTCCCATTTCTCCTCTCCCCTGCTGCTGGTAACCACTATTTTGTTCTCTGTATCTGCATATTTAGAATTTATTTTAAATTCCATATATAAGTGAGATCATGGAACACTTTTCTCTTTGTGTCTAGCTTATTTTACTTAGTATAATGTCCGCCAAGCTCTGTTGTAGAACATGGCAAGAGCTTGCTATTTAAAGATAATTTGAAGTATATGAGAGGATGTGCATATGTTACATGTAAATACTACTCTATTTTGTATCATTGGTATCCTCGGGGGTCCTGGAATCAATCCTCCATGGATACCAAGAATGGCTGTACATGCAAATGGATTGTTATTTAGCCATGAAAGAAACAAATACAAAAGGTTTCATCTCATATGATTTCATTTTTATGAGATATCCAGAATACATAAATCCATAAAGAATGAAGATTGGTGGTTGTCAGGGACTGGTGGGAGAGGGAATGGGAAGAAACTACTTAATGGGTAAAGAGTTTTACTTGGGAATGATGGAATGTTTTGAAACTGTATAGAGGTGATAATTACACAATATTACGGATGATAACTGCCCTGAGTTGTTCACTGTAAGATGGGTAATTTTGTTATGTGAATTTTATATGAATAAATATTTTAAAAATAAAAATAAAAAAACCTCTGTGGCTGAATCTTCTCACCTCAAAATAAATGTTATTCATATAGACCTATCTATATGGATCTATACAAATAAATGGAATAATTCCATAACTGCTAGTAAATTGTTCCAATTACTTATTCAGGTTCCATGTAAACCTCTCTGAAAATTCTATTAAACTAACGGATACATTCAGTCAAAAAATACTATCATCACAGATGATTTTGATGTAACAAATTAATTTTTAAATATTATATTAATTCCTGAAATAATTCTAATGAGATAAGTGTTGATGATAGCAATGTCATGGATGAAAAAACTCAAGCAATATAAGGTGAATAGAGACAAAATGAAAAAAGGTGCAAATTCATCTATGATTAGTGTAAAACTGACCAAATATCTCTTTCTATAAAGATTTACAGAAACTTAAAAATATTTTCCAAATAGAGTAACTGTAATATACTTGCTTTCTCCAAACAGAAAGCAAGCCTATAAAAACATGTTGCTTTTTAATTTTTACCTTTGTATTTTTAATTAACAATTCTGACATTTTGTCATATTTAATAACGAGGATACAACCTAGGTAAAAATAGTAAACATTAAAAAAAAATTCTATCATCAAGTATTTACTGCACATATCTATGTTAACATTATGTGTCAAGAGACTCCAGAGAAAGGACTTAGGTCAAGAGGTAGGAAGAGAACCTTGGAGAAGCACAGAACAGATACTCTAGAATTGTGCTGTCCAACATCTCAATTTTAATTATTTTAAATTATACATAAAATTAAAATTCTAGTTCTTCGGCCACATGATTAGTCATATTTCTAGTACTCAAAAGCCACATGTGTCTAGTGGCTACTATACTAGACAACTGAGAATACAAATACTTCCAACAGTGCAGGAAGTTGTACTGGACAGCACCGCTTAAATCTACTCACGGAACAATCTACTCACAGCTCGAAGGCCTCACTTTACAACACAGAGCTAGGTACTTTTAGATGCCATTATATTGCACTCTCTCTCTCTCTCTCTCTCCCCCAATGTATGTATGTATGTATGTGTGTGTACTGCATATATATATATTTTTTAAGATAAGTCTCAAGTTATCTCAATTAAATGTTTATAAATGTGTAAGTTCTGAAAAGGCGTACTTTATCAAATTGTCATATAGTACTAAAAACTAAAAAAGCCTTTTCTAAATTCTAACAAATTATGTTAACTTTGTATATTAAAATTCATCTTCAACTTATTTACCAGCACTATATTTTATAATAATATAAGAGTTAATCAGGTTTAAAACAATAAAACATGGTAATATGCTGACAGCACTGCTATGTACTACTTGCAAAACAAATTACCTTCCTACCTAAATGCAATTATAAGAGTTATTCCCTCTAGCTTATATTAATTAAATATTTTAACATTTTAATTAAGTATTATAGCAATTTTAGGAGTCTTTTGAGTGCATGAAAATAAATGCACTAAGATACTCTTCCAAATACTACCAAAATATACTGAGGTTAGTTCTGAAATAACTATCTTCTAGATTAATTTTAATAAAATTTATAATGGCTTAATTATCGTCCTCAAATAACATGACAAGATCATACCAAAATTTCAGTGACAATTATAATTTTAAAGGTTTTAATGTATTAATTTATTTCCTTCCAGTGATGACATATCAAGTGTGGCCAGCTTACAAACAGGCACACTATTATTAATATACCAACAACAAAACTTTGAAAGGAAAAAAGGAATCTTTTACATTTAAAAGAATAAATTTTTCTCAAAATTCCCTATCACCATATTTCAAGAATTAATATATATTCTAGAACAAAGACTGGCAAACTTTTTCTGTAAAGGGCCAGATAATAAATATTTAGAGTCCATATGGGTCTCTGTCAAAACTACTTATTCTGTGTCTGTGGTGTGAAAAGAGCCATTGACAATATATCAATAAGTAAATCTTGCTACATTCCAATAAAACTTAATTTATAAAATCAGGCAGCAGGCCTCTGCCACAGGTTGCCAATCTCTGTAACATATCATTTTTAAAGGCTTAGGACAAAGAATTTATATCTAACAGTAACTTAGATCAGATAATCAAGAAGACCTAGAAGAATCAGAAACTGAACAGCCCATCAGAGCTGATACATTCACTCTAGCATCTGTGCCAGGTCTACCACATGAAAGGAAAAGTGAGAAAAACAAAATCACCAAAGCTTTGGCTCAGGTTCTAAGGATGTATTATCTAGATGGGAAGGAAGCAATATATATAATATACCTTAAAAAAAAAAAAAAAAAAGGAAAAAGCCACTTTATCCACTTAATCTGTTCTTCATTATCCTTGGCATTAGAGTTCTGATACTTTGAGAAGTGAAGTATACCAAGCTGTAAGATAGTGAGTCCCATGGGGCCAAGATGGAGCTATCTTGTGAAATGCCTGACACATAGTATCTGCTGAATAAATTTTCATTAAAGGAATTACTGAATGAAGCCTGGGCATGGTGGCTCACACCTGTAATTCCAGTGCTTTGGGAGGCCAAGGCAGGCAAATCACCTGAGGCCAGGAGTTGGAAACCAGCCTGGCCAACATGGTGAAATCCTGTCTCTATTAAAAATACAAAATTTAGCTGGGCATGGTAGCAGGCACCTGTAATCCCAGCTACTTGGGAGGCTGAGGCAGGAGAATCGCTTGAACCTGGGAGGCAGAGGTTACAGTGAGCCAAGATCACGCCACTGCATTCTAGCCTGGGCGACAGAGTGAGACTCTGTCTCAAAAATAAAAAACAAAAAAGAAAATGAAAAAATTACATTATGATGCTTTTTACGATTGTTTGTTTGTTTTAGCTCATCAGCTATTGTTAGTGTTAGTGCATTTTATGTGTGGCCCAAGACAATTCTTCTTCCAATGTGGCCCAGAGAAGCCAAAAGACTGGATACCCCTATAGTGCATCAAGAAGATAGACCAAATAATCCATAAAGAACAAATTTCCTATTATATTTAAGTCACAATTTGATTTATACACAATAACTCAGAAATTCTATGTAAAGTGCAGTGTTTCAGAGACTATCTTTCTACCATATCCCATTCGAGCGGAAAATTTAATTCACTGGAGTGAGCAGCACAACTGAAACACTGCAGTTACTCTAAAATGATATAAAACCTACATTTAAAAAATAAATATTTAGCACTGAGGTATTGCTTCAATTCACAATATTTACTCATTAACAGCCTTAACCACTTTAAAAACCAATATATACATTTCCTAATAGAAAAGAAGTATTAACATACTGTTTGGCTTTCGGGAAACTCCATTTTCAGCAATTTGTGAGCACATTCTTCAAAATCTAAACTGTGGAAATGATCACAATAGGTTAAAAACTTGCAATATAGACTGTAACACTCTTTTATATATAAGAATCTTACTTTAATAACATAAGTAACCTTTTTTAACTGTAATTTCATATTGTTGTACTGTGTATATGAAGAAAATATAGCTCTTTACAGAGAATTAAGTGCCAATATATACAACATGGAGGAATCCTTGAATTATGCTAAGTGAAAGAATCCAGACACAAAAGACTACATACAGTATGATCCCATTTACATAACATGTTCAGAAGAGACAACTCTATGGACACAGAAAGTAGGTACAATAAGTAAAAACTGACTGCTAATAGGCTCAGGGTTTAGAGTCATAAAAATGTTCTGGAATTAGATAATGATGATCGTTGTACAACTTTGTGAATATACTAAAACTACTTGCAGTCATGTATCGCTTAGTTAACAGAGTTATCTTCTGAGAAATGCATTCTTAAGAAATTTAATATGCGAACATCATAGAGTGCATTTACACAAACCTAGATGGTACAACCTAATTTACCTAGGCTATATGCTATGGCTGTTGTCCCTAGGCTAGAAACCTGTCTAGCATGTTACCATACTTCTGAATACCGTAGGAAACTGCAACACAATGGTAAATATTTACATATATAAGTATACCTAAACATAGAAAAGGTATAGTAAAAATACAGTATTATAGTTTTATGAGACCACCATTGCCTATGTGGTCCACTGTTGACTGAACAATTGTTATATGGCACATAACTGTGAATGCACTCTTTAAAAGGGTGAATATCATAGCATGTGAATAAAATATCAATCTTAAAAAGGCAAAAATAAAAATAAAAAAGTTGCATGCATTGAATTGTATTATTCCCTCAAACCAACCATCCTCAAGCTATAACTCATCAGATAGAAGGGTTTCTAATCTATATGATTTTCTTTACTTTAAAGTGAAGAAACAAAACACATGATGTGTAAGTTTCTCTCATTTCTGCAATCATCTTACGCTTTTCGATAGTTTTCCCACTACAAACTGGCCACTCAAGTATGATGGCAGTAAATTCTTAAGTGTTAGCAATATCTTTCCTTCAAGCACTGAAGGATATTAACTGTACATAAAGAATTTATTAACTGTTCTGACTTGTTAATTCCATATTACAGAACAAGTCTAAGTACTCTAAATCTGGGTAACTAGGTCCCAGATCTCATGGAGTATTTCCCAATGCTCAAGGTTTTCAAGAGACCTAGCTGTTCTGTTCTACATTTAGTTGCTAAATAAATCTAAGAAAGAAAAAATCAACTCTATTCAAAAGCTTAGATAAAACAACAGTTAGGATGGTTAACAATGAGGACAAAGAAATAAAGGCTTTAAAATGTTAATACTTCTTTAAAGTAAATAACTAAAATTTTTAAGAAATGCATTCCTATTCACAAATGTACACCTAAATTAGAAACAACTGGAGGTAAAAACACCTATAGGCTACTATATTGATTTAGGTTTATACATAGGATTTCAGAAGGATTTAGAGACGATCTAATTAGATCCTCTTTTTACAGATGAGAAAAATGAGACTTAGGTATTTTGTGTTTGAAACTTGCTCCTGGCCACATAGTCCTGGAAGCAGAACTTGAACACAGGAATATTTATACTTCCTAACCCAATATTTCAGAAGAAAAGGCTATAATTAATATTTAATTTCACAAGACGTATCTTGAAATGTGTATTATGTGTTTAGAGAAACCAGGAAAAGTCCTAATTAAGACAGGAGTAAACATAGGTCAAGTTTCTCTGCTTAAATTAAAATCTCAGCATGGAAGAGTAAACGATATATTACTCTATCACAACTCTATCTACTTTTACTAAACATTGCAAATTTCTTAGATTTTTCTATACTGCTTCCAAGAGGAAACACCACATGTTTTCACTCATAGGCGGGTGTTGAACAATGAGAACACATGGACACAGGTAGGGGAGCACTACACACTGGGGTCTGTTGGGGGGAAATAAGGGAGGGACAGCGGGGGGTGGCGAGTTGTGGGGGGATGGCATGGGGAGAAATGCCAGATATAGGTGATGGGGAGGAAGGCAGCAAATCACACTGCCATATGTATACCTATGCAACAATCCTGCATGTTCTTACATGTACCCCCAAGCCTAAAATGCAATAAAAAAAAAAAAAAAAAGACGTTCCAAGAGCTCAGCACGACGTTAGTGCTTACCCACTACTTTTACAAGTTAGCTTGGTTCATCCCAAACACAGGGCATCCACATTTTATAAATACCACATAGAAAAATAGTAAATAAAAAAAAACTTGCCAGAAAAATATACCCAATATTCATATGAACCGATTTTAAAATATCATCAGCATAGTTCACCTAAGACAATTAGCAAACTCAATTTGTTAGTTGCTTTATTGAGAAATAATGCTACTATATTTGCATTTCTGTGGAATGCCCACACCTTTATTTTTGATAACACAGCATAAAATCACTAATTGAAATATAATGATTATGGACTTAGTTTTGCAGTTCATCTGCATTTCTCAGCTTCACTTAAAGAGTTTCCTAAGCACAATAGGGTAATAATCCAGGATGATACAAGGCATCGAAATAAAGAAAAAAAATACCAGGAAAGAGATTATATAACAGAATATTAAACAGTATCTAACACTAAGATTAAAATACTAAATGGTAACCGATAAACTTTAATAATACAGCAAAACAAAAAACATTTAAAACAGATGTGACTTTTTCTTTTCTACCTTTTTAAAAAAACAAAATTAGTATAAGACAAAATCCTGAAATTTCTGAAAAACAGTCAAGTAGTTGATGAAGAAATGTTACTACTTTCCTTTTATCTACTAAGTGAAGTATCAGGGAGAAAGTTAGCTATAAGACAGTCTGTTGTTCTTGTTCTTATTTTGAGTACTTAATGACTTCCTACACCAGGATAGTTTTTAGGCTGTACTAATTACAAATATTAAATGAATTAAATTTTGTTGACATTTTGCTTCTCATCTTAGGTTGTTAAACCAAACGAGTCTCAGGTTTAACACAAATAGCGATTGAGGGAGGGTAAAGAAAAAAGAAGACATTTACTGAATTACTGTTTTGTTTACATGATGGTTTACAAAGTGGTTTTGTTGATGTGTCCAATTTCAGAAACTTTGAACAGGTGGGGACTTGGTAGTCCATCTCCCTCTCATGTTAGTTACAACTTCAAAAAGGTAAAAACAGACTAGAACATTGCTTAAAAGCAAGAACAAACAGGACTGGTTTATCTTTAATAGCCAAGGCAATTGTGTAGTTTAATGTTTCATGCACATAAAAAACGGGTAGTTTAGGGGGCCATACCAGAAGGAAGATAAGACTACTGGTGATACCAGTCAACAAAAACAAATTTAAAAAATAAAATTCCCACCCAGTTCGGTTGCCAGAACTAAGTTTTTGTTCACAAGATTTTCAAGTGGGCTGTTTAAGATGCCCTTATAGCCACCTGGCTTGATGATTACATCTTATTCTTGATTTTTAGCCTGGTATATAATAAACAAAAAGCTTTTGAAAAATACAAAAACTGAAGATAGACATTAAAGTATCTGTTAATCCAATCCCATGTCAAGATAATCACTATTGATATGTTAACATATTATTTCTAGAATCCATCTATTTTTACAGTTAGGAAAATACTACAAGCACAATTCTATATATAGTTTTTATCCCACCTAAAATAACATCAGACTGTTTGCTCACATTTAAAACAATTCTCTATTAACCTAATTTTTAGTGGTGGCATAGACCGAACATTTTGATTGTGGTGGAAAATAAGATTGTCTCCATTTTTTCTTTTGCAACAAACAATTCTGTACATAATTATGTGTCCATATTTATATCTTTAGGAAATACAGTAATGAAAAACAAGGGTCAAATAGCATGAACAATAAGCCCTTGATTCACGTTACATAGCAGGGTGACTATAGCAAATAACAATGTAGCTAGATTTGAATGTTGTCATCATAAATGATGAAGGTTTAAAGAGATAAATAAGGTAATTATCCTGATATGATTATACAATGTATATATGCCTTAAAACATCACCCTTAGGCTATAATTATATACAACTATTATGTGTAAATTATAAATAAAAATTAACTAATTAAAATTAATAACATTTAGAAAAATAACAAAAAAACCCCACAGAAAATCAACACATAAGACAGGAGTTACTGCTACTAGGGACTGACACTACTATGTAACAGTGGCTATTATTTGTTTTTTAATGCTTTAATTTTTGAAGTCTTTTGTGTGATTCAGAGATTATCAAGGTTACATTTCTTTTAAATAATTATTCAAAGAGCTCCACTGTAGCTCTTCAAAGTTAATGTTAACTGCAACACTAACACAGTAAATCTGCTGCTCACAACTGATTACTGTTGGATTTCTGAAAAAGGACAAATGAAAGGTCAAACTCTAAGAATATTTACCTCTGACAAAATATTTATCATCTTTCACTTTAAGTTTATATGAAAAAATATTTAATACTTTTTTTTTTTTTTTTTTTAGACGAAAAGGAGTTTCAATATTGTTACCCAGGCTGGAGTGCAATGGCGCGATCTCGGCTCACC